GCTGAACGTCCTGGCAGTGGGCCGAACGGTGTCATTTGTCCACGCGCGCTTCAGCTGGCGCTGCACGGCGCCAAATCCGAACAGTCAGAATGCTGCTGTCGCACGCCAAACCGCCCAGCTGAACGGCAAACTGCGTCTGGCGCTGCGTCCGCCGGGTGATAAAAAACTCTCAGGGAAAGCGGTAGACATAACCACACAAGGATCAGGAGAAGAAGGAACAAATCTGGAGGAGCCAAGGCCAGGTCTCAGTAGTACTGCTTGCCGCCGCCCCACTTCTCCGGGATCACGTAGTTCTGGTACAGGATGTACGCGGAGATGTCGTACAGGTCCTGCTGCTTCATGGACCGCATCTTCGGCCACAGGTCGGCGGCGATGATAGACGGGTGCACCTCGGATATGTCCTTCAGGCCGTCGTAGGTCGTGGGGGCGTTGATGTAGTCCACGAGGCTGTCGATGGTGTTGCGCGGGGGGAACGCGCCTGAGAGCTCCTCGATGCCGAGGCCCACGCTCTGGTTGGTGCGCGTGCCGCCGCCAACGTGGCAGGTCCCGCACGCGACGTTGAACAGGCGCTTGCCGCGGATCAGCTCCTCCTTGCTCAAGTTCCTGGTCTTGCCCTTCCCGTCGACCGGGATGGCCACGTCCTCGATCTCAGCCCGCGCGGCGCCCGCGGACGCGGCGACGAGCGCGGCGCCCAGCGCTGCGCCGGCCAGCAGGCGCGTGGCCGCCGCCCACGAGGCGGTCGCCGCGGCAACGCCCTCGGCCTCGGCGCCCGCGGAGCCCGCAGAAGCGCCCGCCGCGGCAGACGCTGCGCTGGGGCCGGGCGCGCCCGCGCCAGTCGGGGCCACGAAGGCGACCGAGAGGCCGAGGAGCAGGGCGAGCCCGAGGGCTGCGAGGGCGCGGGGTGTGGCTGCCATGCCGGCGGGCCACGCGGACGGGCTGGCTCGAAGGCGAGAGCCACTGCAGGCACGCCTTGGACAAGAACAGCCAAGGGGCCTTGATCCAAATTGGCCATGGGTGTCACATGGCCTTTGCTTGTCATTGGTGAGCTGCTCTTGCACGTCTCGGCACATAAACAGCACCACACAAACCGACACAGATGGAGGAGTGGCGACACCAACGCAGTCGCAATGCATGGCGGCGTTGGGCATAAACCCGGTGAGCGACGTACGGCGGAGGGAGACGCAGCCTGCGCCCGCGTCGCATGCCCGTGTGCACGTAGATTGTCGCGCTGGCCGGCCATTTTCAGGAATCGTAAACTGTTCCAGAAAGGCTGCACCATGGCACGCAATGCGATGTGGTCATGCGCTTCCGCCTGTGATCTGCGTTTCTTGCTTCGTCCCAATAACACATCATATTATGTTTGAACCAGAATGCGACCACCAACATTCTGCAGAAACCCGTGCGGCTCGGCAGAATGCGTGCAGTGCTGCGGCAACGCTATTGCAAGAGTGGTCCGCACGGGAGAAACAGTCAAAGTCTATTACCATACGTGTAATGTAGCTTTCGCGGAGGAGAGGGATGCGGATAAGTAGAACCAGCTGCCATTCTGTGGAAGTTGCATTACGTTGCGGCAAGGTGTAAGCGATGCGCGAGATGTATGGAGGCTCGGTGCACTCTCGTGTGCCCAGTAATCAAGCCTGGGAGCAGGCACGGCACGTGACGGGCCCAAGTATAGACGCCGAGAAATGCTCCGATTGCTTGCGACATCTTCGCTTGCGCCAGCAAACAGGGAGGTGAGCGAAAGCAGAAAGGATATTTTCCCACCGCGCTTCCACAACTGGCGCCGCACGGCGCCACAGCCGAGCACTTAAGCGGCCAGCCCCGTCTGGACCGCCCACTTGAAGGGCAAGCCGCGTCTGGAGCATCGTCTGCTGGGTGATAAAAAACTCTCGGGAAGAGCGCACGACGTTGCTACCAAAGGAGCAAGAGTAAGAGGATCAGAACTAGAGTAACAAAGACCAGGCCTCAGTAGTACTGCTTGCCGCCGCCCCACTTCTCCGGGATCACGTAGTTCTGGTACAGGATGTACGCGGAGATGTCGTACAGGTCCTGCTGCTTCATGGACCGCATCTTCGGCCACAGGTCGGCGGCGATGATGGACGGGTGCACCTCGGAGATGTCCTTCAGGCCGTCGTAGGTCGTGGGGGCGTTGATGTAGTCCACGAGGCTGTCGATGGTGTTGCGCGGGGGGAACGCGCCTGAGAGCTCCTCGATGCCGAGGCCCACGCTCTGGTTTGTGCGCGTGCCGCCGCCAACGTGGCAGGTCCCGCACGCGACGTTGAACAGGCGCTTGCCGCGGATCAGCTCCTCCTTGCTCAAATTCCTGGTCTTGCCCTTCCCGTCGACCGGAATGGCCACGTCCTCGATCTCAGCCCGCGCGGCGCCCGCGGACGCGGCGACGAGCGCGGCGCCCAGCGCTGCGCCGGCCAGCAGGCGCGTGGCCGCCGCCCACGAGGCGGTCGCCGCGGCAACGCCCTCGGCCTCGGCGCCCGCGGAGCCCGCAGAAGCGCCCGCCGCGGCAGACGCTGCGCTGGGGCCAGGTGCGCCCGCGCCAGTCGGGGCCACGAAGGCGACCGAGAGGCCGAGGAGCAGGGCGAGCCCGAGGGCTGCGAGGGCGCGGGGTGTGGCTGCCATGCTGGCGGGCCACGCGGACGGGCTGGCTCGAAGGCGAGAGCCACTGCAGGCACGCCTCGGGCTTTGGACCAAAAACGGCGTCAGCAGATGCGGCTTGACTCATAAGCGAGCTGCACTTGCACGTCTCGGCACAATTCGGGGGCGGCTGGATGTTGAAAACCAAACAGCACCACACAAACCGACACAGATGGAGGAGTGGCGACACCAACGCAGTCGCAATGCATGGCGGCGTTGGGCATAAACCCGGTGAGCGACGTACGGCGGAGGGAGACGCAGCCTGCGCCCGCGTCGCATGCCCGTGTGCACGTAGATTGTCGCGCTGGCCGGCCATTTTCAGGAATCGTAAACTGTTCCAGAGAAGGCTGCACCATGGCACGCAATGCGATGTGGTCATGCGCTTCCGCCTGTGATCTGCGTTTCTTGCTTCGTCCCAATAACACATCATATTATGTTTGAACCAGAATGCGACCACCAACATTCTGCAGAAACCCGTGCGGCTCGGCAGAATGCGTGCAGTGCTGCGGCAACGCTATTGCAAGAGTGGTCCGCACGGGAGAAACAGTCAAAGTCTATTACCATACGTGTAATGTAGCTTTCGCGGAGGAGAGGGATGCGGATAAGTAGAACCAGCTGCCATTCTGTGGAAGCTGCATTACGTTGCGGCAAGGTGTAAGCGATGCGCGAGATGTATGGAGGCTCGGTGCACTCTCGTGTGCCCAGTAATCAAGCCTGGGAGCAGGCACGGCACGTGACGGGCCCAAGTATAGACGCAGAGAAATGCTCCGATTGCTTGCGACATCTTCGCTTGCGCCAGCAAACAGGGAGGTGAGCGAAAGCAGAAAGGATATTTTCCCACCGCGCTTCCACAACTGGCGCCGCACGGCGCCACAGCCGAGCACTTAAGCGGCCAGCCCCGTCTGGACCGCCCACTTGAAGGGCAAGCCGCGTCTGGAGCATCGTCTGCCGGGTGATAAAAAACTCTCGGGAAGAGCGCACGACGTTGCTACCAAAGGAGCAAGAGTAAGAGGAGCAGAACTAGAGTAACAAAGACCAGGCCTCAGTAGTACTGCTTGCCGCCGCCCCACTTCTCCGGGATCACGTAGTTCTGGTACAGGATGTACGCGGAGATGTCGTACAGGTCCTGCTGCTTCATGGACCGCATCTTCGGCCACAGGTCGGCGGCGATGATGGACGGGTGCACCTCGGAGATGTCCTTCAGGCCGTCGTAGGTCGTGGGGGCGTTGATGTAGTCCACGAGGCTGTCGATGGTGTTGCGCGGGGGGAACGCGCCTGAGAGCTCCTCGATGCCGAGGCCCACGCTCTGGTTGGTGCGCGTGCCGCCGCCAACGTGGCAGGTCCCGCACGCGACGTTGAACAGGCGCTTGCCGCGGATCAGCTCCTCCTTGCTCAAGTTCCTGGTCTTGCCCTTCCCGTCGACCGGAATGGCCACGTCCTCGATCTCAGCCCGCGCGGCGCCCGCGGACGCGGCGACGAGCGCGGCGCCCAGCGCTGCGCCGGCCAGCAGGCGCGTGGCCGCCGCCCACGAGGCGGTCGCCGCGGCAACGCCCTCGGCCTCGGCGCCCGTGGAGCCCGCAGAAGCGCCCGCCGCGGCAGACGCTGCGCTGGGGCCAGGTGCGCCCGCGCCAGTCGGGGCCACGAAGGCGACCGAGAGGCCGAGGAGCAGGGCGAGCCCGAGGGCTGCGAGGGCGCGGGGTGTGGCTGCCATGCCGACGGGCCACGCGGACGGGCTGGCTCGAAGGCGAGAGCCACTGCAGGCACGCCTCGGGCTTTGGACCAAAACAGCGTCAGCAGATGCGGCTTGACTCATAAGCGAGCTGCACTTGCACGTCTCGGCATAATTCGGGGGCGACTGGATGTTGAAAACCAAACAGCACCACACAAACCGACACAGATGGAGGAGTGGCGACACCAACGCAGTCGCCATGCATGGCGGCGTTGGGCATAAACTCGGTGAGCGACGTACGGCGGAGGGAGACGCAGCCTGCGCCCGCGTCGCATGCCCGTGTGCACGTAGATTGTCGCGCTGGTAGGCTTTACTCAGGAATCATAAACTGTTCCAGAAAGGATGCACCATGGCACGCAATGCAATGTGGTCATGCGCTTCCGCCTGTGATCTGCGTTTCTTGCTGCGTCCCAATAACACATCATACGATGTTGGAACCAGAATGCGACCACCAACATGCTGCAGAAACATGTGCGGCTCGGCAGAATGCGTGCAGTGCTGCGGCAACGCTATTGCAAGAGTGGTCCGCACGGGAGAAACAGTCAAAGTCTATTACCATACGTGTAATGTAGCGCTCGCGGAGGAGAGGGATGCGGATAAGTAGAACCAGCTGCCATTCTGTGGGGGCTGCATTACGTTGCGGCAAGGTGTAAGCGATGCGCGAGATGTATGGAGGCTCGGTGCACTCTCGTGTGCCCAGTAATCAAGCCTGGGAGCAGGCACGGCACGTGACGGGCCCAAGTATAGACGCCGAGAAATGCTCCGATTGCTTGCGACATCTTCGCTTGCGCCAGCAAACAGGGAGGTAAGCGAAAGCAGAAAGGATATTTTCCCACCGCGCTTCCACAACTGGCGCCGCACGGCGCCACAGCCGAGCACTTAAGCGGCCAGCCCCGTCTGGACCGCCCACTTGAAGGGCAAGCCGCGTCTGGAGCATCGTCTGCCGGGTGATAAAAAACTCTCGGGAAGAGCGCACGACGTTGCTACCAAAGGAGCAAGAGTAAGAGGAGCAAAACTAGAGTAACAAAGACCAGGCCTCAGTAGTACTGCTTGCCGCCGCCCCACTTCTCCGGGATCACGTAGTTCTGGTACAGGATGTACGCGGAGATGTCGTACAGGTCCTGCTGCTTCATGGACCGCATCTTCGGCCACAGGTCGGCGGCGATGATGGACGGGTGCACCTCGGAGATGTCCTTCAGGCCGTCGTAGGTCGTGGGGGCGTTGATGTAGTCCACGAGGCTGTCGATGGTGTTGCGCGGGGGGAACGCGCCTGAGAGCTCCTCGATGCCGAGGCCCACGCTCTGGTTGGTGCGCGTGCCGCCGCCAACGTGGCAAGTCCCGCACGCGACGTTGAACAGGCGCTTGCCGCGGATCAGCTCCTCCTTGCTCAAGTTCCTGGTCTTGCCCTTCCCGTCGACCGGGATGGCCACGTCCTCGATCTCAGCCCGCGCGGCGCCCGCGGACGCGGCGACGAGCGCGGCGCCCAGCGCTGCGCCGGCCAGCAGGCGCGTGGCCGCCGCCAACGAGGCGGTCGCCGCGGCAACGCCCTCGGCCTCGGCGCCCGCGGAGCCCGCAGAAGCGCCCGCCGCGGCAGACGCTGCGCTGGGGCCAGGTGCGCCCGCGCCAGTCGGGGCCACGAAGGCGACCGAGAGGCCGAGGAGCAGGGCGAGCCCGAGGGCTGCGAGGGCGCGGGGTGTGGCTGCCATGCCGACGGGCCACGCGGACGGGCTGGCTCGAAGGCGAGAACCACTGCAGGCACGCCTCGGACAAGAACAGCCAAGGGGCCTTGATCCAAATTGGCCATGGGTGTCACATGGCCTTTGCTTGTCATTGGCGAGCTGCCCTCTCACGGCGCCGCCTGGTGCAAGAGGGCGACCCGTGCTGCTGAAAACCAAGTGGCAACATCCACGCGATTCGCTCTGGAGGCTGTGGACACGCCGGGCGCCACAGCGCGGATCTGGACGCACCCTGCAGGCCATACTCTGCGACCAGAAGGGCCTGATTCGGAAGCTGCTGTGGGCGCACTGCGCATTGGCACATTCGCCAAGACGATCACGCAATTCGCCGTGCCATCCGCCGGTCGGTTGGCAACAGCGACGCAGACAAGAACACGGCTGACGTCCCACGAGCCATCCAGGCCACGTGGAAGCCAGGCAGGCGGAGCGGGGCATCGTGCCAGCCCATGGCGTGGACGCCGAGCTCGGCTGATCACGACACCGATGCCTCCAGGGTGGACGGGGCAGGAGGAGGAAGAGAAGGGAGGACGAGGGTGAGAAGGTGGGGACCGCCTCCCAAGACGGTCCAAGAGCGTCCCGGGGGCTTGAGGCTCCAAAGACGGCGCCCAGCGTCCATCCAGACGGCCCCCAAGTGGAGCTACCCGCTAAGCCTCGCCAGGAGACATTGTCAGAAACCCGTGCCCATCAGGGCCAGGCCCCCGAGAGGTCCCCACGAGGCCCCCGAATGCTTCCCCACGAGGCCCCTTGAAAGGGGTAGGTCTATGGGGGCGGCCAACGACATGCGGCCGAAACTGTCGGAACGCGCAACATGTCCGGCAGTGTGTCCAAGCACGCTGGTTTCGAACAGCGCCTCGATTCGCCGACGGGAGACAATGGCCATGCGCGTGGGCTGCTCTAGCACACATGGACAACTGAGAAGTTGCTTGCGAGGAGGGTGGTGGTCATACAGCGTGGCTGCGAAATGGGTATCGGCGACATCCACATAACACAAGGACGTTACTCTTGGGCCTGGAACAGACATCGTTAGGAGTGGGAAAGCAACACATACATGCAAGTGCATCAGCTACTGACTTGTGGTGCGCAAATCCAATGACGGTTCGGCCTCATGCTGGGGGGAACAGAGTTCCGTCTGCGTGGGGCTAATTTCGTCTTTCCTGGGTCCGAGCTCCATGCAACTTATTATTCTCATCGATATAATGATTGGCCCGCTGGAAACGTAAGATGTGAAATTGGAACGGCGAATCAGGCGGAAATCATTTCCAATACCCCAGAGAGAGAGAGAGAGAGAGAGCCGCCTTGAGATTCTGCCAGGGCTGGGGTAGGGGTTCATATTGTCTCTGCGCGCACCTCAAGAAGAACATATATTGTCCAGGGTGAGTGCTCACTGGTGTGGCCACGGCCCATGCCACACTTCAAATTGGTAGGGGTGGCCATGTCTTATGTGATGGTGGCGATGAAAGCAAGATCATACGCTCTACGCCAGCCTTCGAGGAGAAGCCACGCACGACCGCCACCAGCAGAAGCTCCCGCGCAACCTGCCGTCGAAACAGAAGGCGATGAAAACCGAGGGAATGGACGAGACACTTCGGAGTGATGCGAAAGAAACGGCGATTCAACGGAACAAGTGGCCAGATAATGCGCTCCGCAATTGCGAGTACCTACTGCATCAGTGCCACCCCCTGAGATTTGCGTCGGGGCAGCACGAACCACGGGCCTCCCAATGGTGGCGAACTACCCAGGTGGACGATCATGCATTGGCCATCTGTCGGCCACACGCATGTCTGCTCACGCATTGCCCATCGTTTCGAATCGACGACGGCGACGGCCTTGGCGCCGACCCCAGCAACGACGGGCCCCAGAAGTCTCGGCCCCTTCCCGGGGCACGACTTCTCGCCCCGGATACATGTGGATAGCCCCAGGCCCCGAGAACGGGCCATGCAGGCCCACACCAGGGAAAATCGATCGATCGATCCTCGATCAGTCGACCGCGACGACGGCGACAACGCCCAGGCCAAAGCGCTCAGAACCTCTACCTGGACTTGGAGTACCATGTGGGACCTGCTCTAGAACATGCAACGGCCGCGCTGTCTATACACGTATCCACCCGAATGTGTCTATATACGTAACGACACCCAGTGTGTCCACAGACGCTTGCGGCTAGAACGTGGGAGCGGCATTGGGCATTAGGCACAGGCCCGAGATGTTGGCCTCCCGAAAGCAAATCTACTCTGCCCTCGATCCAATGAGATCTGTACAACCCTCGTCGTGGCCAGGATGGGCCCAGTGAGATCGATCTCACCGTCGACCCCTGCTGCTGGGAACCTCGACACCTCCCTTCTCGGCGCGTGCTCCGCGCTCACGAGGCCACGCCGCACGTGGCCTGAGCCCTCCCGAAAAGGGCTCGGCTTGAGGCTCGGGGGGCCTCCCCGCCTCGCCATCGACCTCCCTGGCTCCACCCCGACCAGCCCCCCGCGCCGCTCGCGGCCGAGGCGACGAGAGCCCCCCGCGGCGACCCCGCGCAGAGCTGCGACGACGCCTCACGCCGACGACGTCCCCGACCAGCCCCCCGCGCCGCTCGCGGCCGAGGCGACGAGAACCCCCCGCGGCGACCCCGCGCAGAGCTGCGACGACGCGGCACGCCGACGACCTCCGGGCGCGAGGCTGGGGCGAGCCGCCGCGGGCCGACTGGCGGCGCGCGACTGGGGGGAGCGAGAAGGGGCGGGGACCCCTCGGAAGGCTCGGGAGCCCCCCGGCCCCTGGCGAAGTCTGCGAAGCCCCCCCCCCCCCTCCCGAAGGCACAGCACGTGCACCTCTCAGAGGGCGCGGGGGCCTCCGAGAGAAGTCCCGCCGCCTTCTGAGCAGGCCGTCTCCTGAGGAGGAGGAGGAGGAGGAGGAGGAGGAGGAGGAGGAGGAGGAGGAGGGAGGAGGAGGAGGAGGAGGAGGAGGAGGAGGAGGAGGAGGAGGAGGAAGGGGAGGAGGGAGGAGGAGGAAGGGGAGGAGGGAGGACGAAGAGGAGGATTCTTACTTCCCCCCCCCGCTCGCGGCCGCTCCAGCCCGCGCCCGAGGTGGCGGGGCCCCTGCGGGGCAGGGCGAGGCCACGCGCGCCCCCCCCCCACCCTCGGGGCGGGCGCGCCGCCTCCTCCCGCCGCGGGGGGGGGGGGCGGGAGGGCGAGGGCGGGGATCGGGACTCGGAAAGGGCGCTCCAGAGAAGCCGAGAGATCGATCCTCGACCGATCGACGACGACGACGTCGACGACGACGGCCCCGCTCGGGGGGGCGGACAAACGGGGGGGACAGCCAGGAGTCTGGCGTTGGCAGAACTGGGTTTAGTGGGACCTGGTTTAGTGATGTGTACTGGGGGAAGCCCCCCCCGCCCCGCTCCACTAACCGGAATTGCCGTCACCCGAAGAAACACGAGTTACGGCAAGCCTGGTTTAGCGATTCTGGCAAATTTAGGGGCTCTGGGGCCCTACTACCCCTTACCTGGGGCCCTGGCTATGCCCGAACAAGAGGGGGTTAGCAAATCGGCTGCACGCAGCCGGTGTCCCTGGCGCCTCCTGGCGGCAGAGGCGGCCGCGCACGGAGGACGGTGCCTGTCGGTGGAGCCGAGATCAGGTGCACGCAGTAGTCTTCGCACACCTCCGTCTCGTCCTCATCTTTCCTCCTCCTCCTCCTCCTCCTCATCCTCCTCTCCTCCTCTCCTCCTCTCCTCCTCTCATCATCACCATCATCATGAGTATCAGCATCAGCATCAGCATCAGCATCAGCATCAGCATCATGATCATCATCATCATCATCATCATCATCATCATCATCATCATCAGCATCAGCATCAGCATCAGCATCAGCATCATCATCATCATCATCATCATCATCATCATCATCATCATCAATCATCATCATTCATCCTCATCCTCATATCATCATCATCATCATCATCATCAGCATCATCATCACCATCATCGTCATCATCCCCCCCTATTCCTCCTCATCTTTCCTCTCCTCTCCTCCGCCTTTCCTCCTCCTCCTCGTCGTTTTCCTCCTCCTCCTCCACCTCGTCCTCCTCCTCCACATCCCCCCCCCTCCTCCTTCTCCTCCTCATCTTCCTCCTCCTCCTCCTCCGCCTTTCCTCCTCCTCCTCCTCCTCCTCCTCCTCCTCCTCCAGGCGATGTGGTCCGAGGCGCCCATTCTGGGAAGCAGCCCGATCGACCACGACCCCAGCCCCGCGTAAGGGGCGCTTCGGCGGGACGCCCGATATTGTACCTGCCACCAGGCCCGTGTCTGCTTCACAGACAGCGCGTGGCCGTTCCGACATAACCTCGCCTCGTTCACGTTCGCTTGCGTGGCACCGTGCTTTGCGACGTCAGCACTCGGCAGCACGCAGGATTCTGAGGATACAGCGCAGGCGAGGGACATACTCAATTCGCATCACGGCTCTCTTGCTCCTACGATGGGAGGCGATGAATCGGCCACCTCGCAAAAGAGAGTCTCAGCCAAGAAAGAGCCCAAAGGGTCTGGTGTTGCGACGAGGCAATCTGGTTCCTCAGGGAATGATTATACCAATACTCACTGCTATCGTTGCAGGCGCGACGAGCGGGGCATTCCAGACACCAAAGCAACGTACAGCGTCCAGGTCGCCATCTCGTAGCCGCACGAGAGCAGCAGACAGTGGACGCCAGCCCGACGATGCCAAAGACACGGAGATCACATCAGGAGACGCTGTTGTCGGGGCGAGACGGGCACTCTATGCACTACGTAAGCTCGGACTCGCCGAAGACTCCACGCTCGTCGCTCAAGCCAAGACGGACTTGCAAATGGCCGAGGCGGACGAGCAGTCGAGGCGCACACCAGACGACATGTTACGCCGCAGCCTCGACCGCCTCAACCACAAGACGAAGGATGTGGGCGAACTCAAGGCCAACGTGTCCGACATCGAGTCCAAGCTCACAACAGAGAGGAAGGCTCTCGAGACGGCCACGATCGAGCTCACCGCCATCCAGCACGACGTCAACTTGGCTCGCGCAGCAGTGCTGGCCTCGACGGGGTCCACCTCAGCAGCGCCGCCCAGACAGCTTGCTGACTCCGTGCAGCGCCTTGTGGCCGTCGTGCAGGGCGCTCCAGGTGCGCTCCTGGCGGGCAACCAGCAGGCCATGCCTGCCCCTTTGGAGCGCCAGGCACAGGAGCTCCTGGGCATCGTGGCCACAAGGAGCGGGCATTATATCAGAGGCTGCGGGCCCGACGGCACCGACAGGCACACCCGCGCCCGCCACGCCCTGCGACTTTGCAGGCATGCAGCAGCCAAGTGGCGCTTTTGATCACACAACGCATCCTCATCCATGGGACACAGCTCTGCCAAGCGGTCCGGCCGAGGAAACGGAACGTGGATAGTGGTTTCAGATGCTTCAGTTACTACGGATACCTAGTGTGGTGCACTGCAACGGAAGTGCCAGATATGACGACACCTGTGCAGTGCACGCGCCAGGTGGCCCGCCGACGCGCCCACAGGAGGGCGAAGAGGAGGGCCGTCACCACCTCAATGTACAATGCCAACGGCTGGCCTCGCCTCAAAGACTACTTCGAGGACGGGGCTGGAGGATCCGCCTTGATCGCGTCTCAGGAGGTCCGCCTCTCGGGAGATGCGCGGCTACAGGCGGAGGAGTGGTGTCATCG